ATAATTTTTAAAAGGCATGACACGAATGTCACCAAAGCCAGCGATGAAAACCCTGATAATAGTTCCAATTCCAAACTTGATTCGAGTCCCGTATAACTGACACCCGAGCATCTTCCCTCGATGTCCTTAATCATTATTCTCATTAAGGTGATGTCATACTATTATTGTCAACATCGACCGAATATGCTAGTCAATATTAACATCACATGAGCTATTCTGGCGTATAGGCAAGAAGGCTAGAATAATAGCAAAACGTATGTGCGCTATGTCCATCAGCAGTGCAAGTCTAGCATCTGTAGGGGGTATGGTGAGTGGCGTTATTGAATTCATGCAATTCCGACAAAATAACCTTTACATTATCCCCCAGGCATGTCCAGGCTAATCCTCGCTGAGGAAATACTAGTATGTCCGATCGATTTGATATTGACTGCCTAGGCGTTAAATTAGCAAGGTCGGCAAGGGTGAAGCGGTTGGTTGAATAGCTTTGTGTGCTTGTCCGAAATCGAGATTACTTGATAAGATGCCTGGCAGTTAAAGCGTTTTTCTGCGCCACGGCAGCTGCATCTACACACACGTGTAACAATTTAACCACAAAGGTGGAAAATTATGAAGTGCTTGATTGCGAAAGTAAAGGTTTAAACAGTATATAGCAGTCGTGAACGACTGAATCGTATGAAATTACTAGCGCCAACACAACCGTTCACACAACTTACAGCACGTTCTCAACGCACACACCTATAATTTCAGTCTAGACTCCTTTTCATCTCGACTTCTCAAAGTGTAAAAGTTATGACGGCTTATGTTTCAAGTTTTGAATCCATACGAAGAGTTTCCTGCACTTTTTTTTGCAAAATCAGCTTGTCTGTCATAGATAGAAAAAGAAGTAGCGTTTAGCACATTATTTTTCTCATTAAGAAACAAATCTGCATAGGTTTTCAGACCCTTAGTGGAAACATTTACTATGGCTACTCCACAAAACTGCACAGAAATTAATGTGAGAAGCGTAAGAATTACTTTTTAGCACCAAGTCTCATATGAAAGTCTAAAGAAACTAACTAATTTTCTCGATAAAACAATAGTTGTTAAGATACTGGAGGAATTCTTCAACGCAAATACAACCGCTAGGGAATTAGACGCTTACAATGACGCTGCAGAGTTTACTAATAAGCAAAGCATACGGAACTTAAAAAATTTGCCAAAGCAGGGTGGATGCTCGGAAAAATTATACCTGCGTGTGTGGATCAAATGCACAGAATATACATTAAGACAAATGAATAAAAGCGTGGATCTTCGGAAAATCACATTGTACTCGTGAATTTTCAATCAAAAAGCACTCGTTCGTGGTCCGTTATGAAAATACACACAAAACAGCACATATACCTATTTCTCGATCGTCGGTTTTGGTTGGGTACATCGTGTACATCAAAACAGGTTGGTGAATGGACGGTGACTTACAGCTGGTCTAGTCCATAGCGCTACAAGACTTGCGCTTTACTCATCGCAGTCTCGTCCCCGTATTTGGAACAGGTGTCAGGTATCTGTCAGTAATACCGGTGATGATGGTCGACGTAGGGGTCTGGCGCAGATGTAGCCGCCCGTAAATAGAGGGGGAAATAGAGTCAGTGGATTGGGACAATATAAAGGTCGACTAGAAAAATTCAAGCTTTTTTCCTCTCTATTAAAGCAACTACAGACAAACTATGATCATGATATTCACACCCGTCAAGGCGACATATAGCTGATTTCTTTAAATTTGTAGAAACGACACATCACTCAGGTTATCCATATAAACGGAAAAAAAGCCATCCTAAACTAGAATTGTGAACCAACTTCTGCTCCCACCTGATTATTGAAGACTGGAAAACACTTCTTCTTCAGTTGTTCTTGCTAGAAGTCTTGACGCATTAAAAAGTAGACTCTATAGTACTTTACTTGCTGGTCATACATTTAGTAGAAAATAATGATTTATATAAATTGTGTTTATGGTTTCGAAGCATAAGTATAATTTGGCCGTATCTGTCCATAAATATGGTTCTCATATATACTGACGTATACTTAATTAAGTGTGGTCCAAAAGGGGATGTACTTGTAGCATTGTGTTTGTGCTCCTGGTGTCAAAACTGAAATAAAGTCACTTGTCTAGCATAATCGCCAGATGGCCACTACATTGTATTTGCAGTTGCCTATGCATGACTTGAAAACTGCAATTTGAAATTTTTAAGCAATGAATCCTGTTCAACTG